AGACAGGAGGAGGACAGAGTGTAGGTACACAGAACATACCTATAACATATAAATGTGACCTAACAAAGGTAAAGGGCAAATATTAACCATATACTGTATATTGTTTATACTGCTTGTAATTGGGATAAGGTAAACATCTGTTCAGTATTTTAACATAAAAGTGTTGATTGTGAGGCATCAAAAGCCACAAAATGCAACGGGTCCATCAGACCCACAAACACTGGCTGAGTAACAACAATATGAACATTACACAAGGGTTAAAACAAAAGGTGACTGTCGATGAACTAGTCTTTGCAGGCTTGTTTTTGTCAGGTCTTGTGTGGTCCAAGTGGCTTAAGCTTTTTGTTTCTTTCCCTCTGTTTATTTACCATGAGCACATGATGACTGAGAAGTGTCTGCTCTGTTTGCTGGCAGACTGGACAGCAGCATGACGTAGCACTTTTTTACTACTGCATATCCACGAGCGAGGGAGAAGACAGAGAGTGATCATGACCTCTATCTTAACTAAGGCGGGAGAATAAATGTACCTGCATCACTGCTATGACTATCAGGGTATGGATTTATTAATCAGGATTTATTTTTTAGTGATTATGGGGCAGATAAAATGTAGACATTGTAATTTGTTTCATCCTCAGTCTCTCAGCAGCATCTCCTCACACTGTCTAACATAGTGTCACCCTTATTTGCAGTAAAAACAACACTGTCATCTCATATACAGTATATACAGCACAAAAAACAGTAGAGCACAGTCTCATAAACTGGTTTATGTACAACATAATAAAAACAACAAAAAATACTCAACACAGACAACAAATCTGTCTGAAATGTACTAAGGAATTTTCAGCAAAGCTGAAATGAAACCTTCATGCCCTATGACCTCACATTTCTTCAGACCATAGATTTTATATATAAGAAACTGATGCACTGTATGTAACAAACTAAAGCTGGAGAAGAAAAGTTGACCAATTCCCTGCCTATTTTAAAGGACCTGTTTTACTAACTTACTTATTTCTTCAGTGTCCTTTTCAGTTGTGCCTAGTGTAAAAATTACCTTTAACTAGCACAGTGCTTCTCAGAATTTGGGGTGTGCCCCACTGGTGGAACAGGTCATGTGCAACAAACGGGAGGACATTTTCAAGGTTTAGGGGTGATGGTATGACTATACTTTTATTTTCACTTTTTGAACTTAATGTTATTATATGTTATTGGAAATATGACTCCTATTGCCAGGAGTTTGGTTCCGGAGATGCGGACAGGTGGGGCTGGAAAATTCCCACTTGTTCAAATTTGGTAATGACCAAAGAATTTTGAGAACCACTGAACTAGCGAATTAAAACATTTTTTGGACTTCAACCAACTCTAGCACTAGTGCTTCTGGTCTTTTAGCAGGACGTTGCTTTTGTAACTAGATAATTCTTGTGGTCTATCTTTTAAAAAACAGTATGTCATACTCCCACATTTTGTTCATCTGATGATAAAGGATTCTTTATAATAATTTCTGAACACCAACAATTACCATGGTCACATGCTTCACCCTCCTGCTCCCTGGTGCACGATGGGCGTCATGTTGTTCTTTTTCACTCAGAACATTCTGTTTTCAACTCTCTCAACTCTATACATGTTTGTCTTCCTTAACACCTCTGTGAATAAACATAAATGCAAATGCCGTTAGTTTTGTTTGCGAGTCATGTTTGTGCAGCGTGCTGTGTGTACATCACCAGAGGGTGTGATTGTCTACAAAAGGAACAGCCAAAGCTAGTTGTTTGAAATCCTGGTTGGAAGGTTTCAAATCCCCCATTTACACACTTGAAGAGGGGGAATAGAGGGAATGGAGTGTGTACACACACACACACACACAGACACTCTTTAGAATATTTTTTGGTCTAAGGATTGATCTTGGGCATAGAAATCACAGAGAACCAAAGCCTGGTCATGATAGGCAGGATCCGTCATATGTCAAAGTTAAATTAGTAATACTCCCATACACTACATTAGACATTAATTAATAGTAATTAGGGGTCAGCGAGAATGACATTTCAGTAGTTAGAGTTAAGCTTAGACAATAAATGTTTTGAATTGCTTTGTTGGGATCATTTCCTTTTGTCAGCCATTTCATTGTGGAACTGCTTTAGTTCCTGTTCTCAATGACTTCAAACTACAATTTTATGATTGATCTGCCTAGTCAGCTGGAGATAAATTAGCAATAGTATAGTGTTCAACGCTGTTCTGGACTTAATAGGACCCACCACATCAATGTTTGCTATAAATGAACATGTTAATAATCGGTGACCGATATTCAGGTGACCCATATGAAATGAAATAAAAAAACGATAATTTATACTACAATAATTTTTACTTGGAGCTTTGCACCACAAACAGTATGCACAAACTTAAAAAAAACAATTTTAAATAGCATAAAAACCTCAATAATGGTTGAAATAATATATATATATATATATATATATATATATATATATAGAGAGAGAGAGAGAGAGAGAGAGAGAGAGAGAGAGAGAGAGAGTAATAGGTTTATTTACAGTTTCCTCCGGAACGGGTTGAACATTGCCAATCTTTGTCATCTACTTCCCCAGCTCATTTGTTGTTCTTCGGGATTAAAATAACATCTCCGCATCCTATTAGTTACTTTACTGCCACCTACTGGCGATATTTTCACACTAAAGCAAACAGATTAAGAGAAAGAGAAGATATTTCTGTTTAATTTCTCAAAAACTGTGATGACGATATGTAATTGTATACGTCTGTGTGTGTGTGAGGATGAGAGACAAGACGGACAGACAGTGATTTCAGACAGACCTAAGGGAGAGAGATAGACGGAAAAAGAGAGAGAGTGAAGAGTTAGAAAGATGGAGCTAGCGAGACGGGGGTGGAGCTTCTCGTGAGGGACGTGGTCGTAAACTTGTCACTCAATGGCGGTTTCCACGGCGAGTGGGCGGTCTCGAAACGCGGGCCATCCAATGGGAGAGGACGCTGCGTGTGTCACCATGGTGACGGGGCTGTGCCCCGGGGGTTGTGATGGGTTGACAGGTGCGTGACAATCGCAGCTCTCTGCAAGCATGTACGCCAAAGGCAAGACTAACAACGTGCCGTCCGACAGCCAGGCCAGAGAAAAGTAAGTTTTATTTATGGGGGAGGAAACCGCGGGCTGTGAGGGAAGTTGATGAGCGACCGTGGGCAGTCACACACTGCTCACAGGGGAGGACGCACGGCGCACGACTCCACACTCGGCACGGAGCTGAGCCTGCTCTCTCTGACAGCCTTGGAGAGTTGACTGCTTCGTTTATTTTCAGGAAAGATAGACTTTTTTTGTCGGAGGGGGATTTGTTGTTCTTTCAGGAAGTATAGCGGAATTACTTGTAGTTTATAAGCCTCGCTGCTTTCTCTTGTGATTCCCTGGCTTTTTTTGTCCTTTTTCTGTCTGTTAGATTTGTGACAGTTTGAGCATCTTTGTCGTATTAATACTGGCTTCGTTTGTCTATTTTCTTTAGTTTTTTTTATCAGTGTTGTAAACATGCACGCTTTCAGGTCACGGCTGTGCCGTCCGGTGTTTTCAGGTGTCTGCGTCTACGGGGTCAAACCGCTCGGCAAACAGTGGATCCTCACTGTGTCTCCACATCTGGAGACCATAACAATCGATGTAGGGTTTCGCTTTGTTTTCATAAACAATAACAATCGTCACCTCGTATCAAAACACAACATGACTTGGTTTTTGTCTCCGCTTGAATTCACATCAGAATACAATAGATTCATATGTGGTTTCATTGTTTAAAGTAGAAGGTGAACGGTTAGTTGGAATTTAATTAATTATCAAAACGCATCAGATTTCTTAATAATAAAGCAGAACTTTTTTTAACAAATCCATTTCAAATATATAATTGGAAATTACAATTACTGGAAGGATGTATCAGGCATAACTCCATCCATCCATCCATCCATTTTCATCCGCTTATCCGTTACCGGGTCACGGGGGCAGCAGTCGCCACCCAAATCCCATTGCACCGTACCAACCCCCCAAACCTTTCTGCGGGTGGTGAGTCCACTGGAAGGTATTAACCGCCCTAACCGTTGTTGTTGTTACTCAGCCAGTGTTTGTGGGTCTGATGGACCCGTTGCATTTTGTGGCTTTTGATGCCTCACAATCAACACTTTTATGTTAAAATACTGAACAGATGTTTACCTTATCCCAATTACAAGCAGTATAAACAATATACAGTATATGGTTAATATTTGCCCTTTACCTTTGTTAGGTCACATTTATATGTTATAGGTATGTTCTGTGTACCTACACTCTGTCCTCCTCCTGTCTAGGCCTGCTCTGTGTGTGTGTGTGTGTGTGTGTGTGTGTGTGAGTGTGTGTGTGCGTGTGTGGGTGCATGTGCGCGTGTGTGTGTGGTACACAGAACATCAATTTCCACACTTCTATTAGCCCCGGGTCCAGTGGACCCGGACATCTTATATGTAATAGAAATGTGTAGGGGGGTGTATGGTGTGTGGTCATTAAATATGTATTCTGATATGTGTTCTTCACAGAAAATGAGCCAAAGCCAGTGAGTCTCAGTTTGAAAAATTAAATAGTTATATCATTTTTCTTTTATTAAAAAGTGAAAACGGGTCCCACAGACCCGAACACCACACAAGGGTTAAACTAGATGACTGACTTTCTTGGAATGACGATCTTTAAGTACATCTTGTCCAACAAGTTTTACTCGTGTGGTAAGAATCATTTCATAATTAATGATGAGGGGATGAGTGTGACAGAGTTACGGTGACAAAGGAACAGCTTGTTGTATTTTAGCTCTTCACCAGTTGGCACCTGTGTGAGCCATTTAAGTTTATAGATGTGAGGAGTATGTCCATAAAATGTAGGATTAATCACTTTTACATCCAGCTCATGTAACTAGAGAATTGTGCCTTTTGAATCCAGTTCATTGGTGTTTGTCAATAGTGTGATTTAGTGTTCAGCTCCGGTCCCTCGAACCCCATTCTTTGTCCCCAATCGATGTGGAAAGGATGGGACTGAGCAGTGTGGCTCCATCGCTGCCCTATCACACTCGGAGGCAGAGCTGGAAAGATTCCTTAGGCATACTCAGTGAGAGAACATTGAAGCATGTGGAAGATTGTGTGTGTTGGGTTGTAAATTATACGGGTTCTGGTAATCCATAGTGGAGAGATTCTGACCACTGGCCGTTGACAGAACAGCTCATTTGTATTAAAGGAGGAAGACCACTACCTCCAGTTAATGTCCACATGTCATCATCTACAGTTACACACAGAAACACTTGTTTTTGTTCTGTGATGTTTTTGTCAAAAATGTGTCGGTGTGTGTGTGCTGAAGCATCTATTAAAGCAAATGATTTTTCTACCAATGAAATATGTGTTGTAAGTTTATCCCGACCTTCTTTGTTACTCCAGATCACTGTTCGTGTTTAAATAGTAAGGCAAGGGTGTTGCTTCCTTGTCTGTTACTGTCAAAGTCCAGATGAGAACAAGGACAGTACGGATGTCGAGAAAACACTGGATAAAAGACAGAAGAAAAAATGCAACAGAAATCTGGGGTTTTATTTGTTTCTTCACAAGCTGCCTGGTCTATCAGTGGTGTGTATCAGAGAAACAGAACGGACCCAGTACAGCCGAAGCTTCAGTTGTTTCTCATTTCTGCAGCATGGCAGGGGATCAGAGAGTGGGAGAGTCAGAGAGCAACAATAGATTGAAGCAGAGGAGGTGAATAAGAAGGGGGGGGGGGGGCAGCAGGACTGAGGGAATTTGCTGGATCATTAGTTTACAGTCTTGTAGTATTGACCTTAGAATGGACCCCTGCAGACAGAGGGCCCTGGCATCTGGCCCATGTAAATGCAGAGGAACTCTGATTGCAGCTAACCTCCACTCGGCTCTGCTATCTTCTCTCTCTCTCTCTGTGTGTGTGTGTGTGTGTGTGTGTACGTCTGTGCGTGCATGCGTGTCATTTGAACCTCATTGTGTGCTAGTGCCACAGCAATTTCTTTTTGCCTCACAGATCATACTTTGAGGCAAAGGGTAATAAAGCAACATTGTAGGTTGCAGACATGAGACAACTGGACCATCCAATAGGAGTCAAGACATATCACAGTTCTAGCAACATTTAACAACATTGGACAGTAGAGTTGTTTAATCATTTTAAAGGCAAATTTACAAAAATCAACTTTGTACATTTCATATAAAGTCCTGACCGTTCTGAGTGAGATCATTAGAAACAGACAATGTCACTTTGCGACAATAGTCTGACACCACCGAGTGGCATTCATACATTGCTTATATACAGTCTGTGGTCTAACATACTTTTTATGGCATAACTGTAGTTTTAATGTCTTTCTAAATTTGCCGCAGTAGTGTAATGCTCAGTGTTGGATATATTGCTTCAGCAACAGCAGTGTTGCTAAAACCTCTGGAAACAACAAACATTTTTTAACAAGATGTTTGATCCATCCCAGAGTAACTGAGGCAAAAAAACTGTACCATCTGTATACAGATTTGGTAAAAGACAGTTGGGAGAACATATATTTTTGATTTGTTAATATGTTTACACAAAATCATTTTTGGTCAAATGTGAAATGCTCAAAATCAGCTGCAAAAAGAAAATGAAAGTGAGACACACCCCCCCCCCCCCGCCCCCCTTTATCCCTTCTTTACTCCAGTGTTGTT